CCAAAACCAAGCCCTGAAGCCTTGGGGACTTAAAGGATTAACATTCTCGGAATTTCAAAGGGGTATAATTTCATAACCTCAGCATTTCAGGCTATCAACATTCTGTTGAAGATGGTAGTATTTCAAGAGTGCGGGGGGGTCGGAAGATGAGTGTGAGTTAATATATGAAGTGCCACGTGCTCACAACAAGTTTGGAATTATTTTCGATCGAACAGCTTCTCATTTACCGTATGCCATATGCAATTCAGAGACTCTGAAACTGTGAAACTCTAAAGATTTCGGAATTCGGACGACAGTGACATTGGACACTTTTAAGATTCTGAACTTCTGAGATTCTGAAATTGAGAAATTCTAAACATTTCTTAATTCAGAAAAGAGTATTATTCTCCACTTCAGGTATTATCCCACTCTCAGATTCTGAAAATCTAAAATTGTAAAATTCCAAATAGTTCTCGATTGAGAGAATAGTGAAACTCTAAACTACACAGATTCTGAAACTGTGAGAAACTGAGATTCTCAAATTCTAAATATCTTGAAATTCATAGAACAGCGTTGTTCAAAGCTTCTCAGATTCTAAGCTTCTGAGATTCTGAAATTACAAAAATTTATCTGTTGCGAGAATAGTATTACTCTAAACTTCTTGGATCCCGAAATACTGAAACTGTAAATATTTCTGAACTGAGAGAATAGTGTTGCTCTAAAGTTCCCAGATTGTAACATTCTCAAACTGTCAAATTCTAAAAAATTTCTCAATTCAGACAACAGTGATACTTTAAACATTGGAGATTATAAAATTCTAAGTACTTTGCAACTCAAACAATACTGATTTTCTAAACTTGTCAGATTCTTACATTGCGAACTTGTAATTGTTTTCTGGGTCATAAAATAATCCTATTTTACCCATCAGAACCTCTCCAATTATAGAAATTTTGCAATTCAAACAACAGTATTATTCCAAACATCCGAGAATCTCAGGATTTGAAACTGTAAAACTCTATAGACCAAGCAACGGTGTCATACTAAATATGTGCAATCCTGAAATCTTCAAAATCCTTAAAGTGCAGAGTTTCGAGAATTTCAAACTTTGACTGGAAAGTCATCATTATACTCCATCATCGTGATTTTTCTTGATCAAAACATTAAGCTTTTTATATTTCCCATCCTGAACTACATGTTTAAAGCAGAGAAAAAAACGTTTTCGTTTTATTCTGCTAGTTTGTGTCTTCTCTGCATATAAGATACGACCGTTCAATATGATATAAAAGAAGCATCTGGCACAACGATTGTTCTCTCTTCTTTTCTGTCTTTCGCTTACTATTTTTGTCAGTGGGAAAGCAAGATATAACATGAATCGCTTATTTAAGGCTAAAAGAAAACATCTGTTTTAAACGTCTGGAATTAGGGCAATTCGCTATCCTGAAGTGTGTCTTATCAGTGTTCGTAAGTAGCCGTTTTTGTTAGTGCTTTAACTTGTACTTAGTTATAGAAGCGCTTGCCTTTAGTGTTTCAATAATTTGGGATTATAGCAAGCTAGAGTTCTTAAAATGTAGCATCTTGAAGGTCGCTTCATGTAGGTTTTATGTGCATCGCACAGTGGGCATCTAGGCGGACATTAGGTGAAAAATTGAAGTTGCTCCTTTTTCAAAAACAAATAGTCTGGAATGTAGCCCTTGAAAAGGGCTATCGAATGGTGTATAAATGTCTATTGTGATGTTCACTTCTTCGCAGAGAAAAACAGGTACAAAACAGTACTGTGTTATACTACTTTTAGCGACATCTTGAGAGTTATTTGTTCATTTTACTTGCTTCGTTGCATTAAATGGCTACACAAAGCACATATTCAAAATCAGCAGAATGAGCGCTATCTATTGCTACCAAAAAGTTACTAATTCCAAAAGAAATTCGATGAGAAACAGGCCATACAAGCTGCATAGTGTCAATTACAGATGACCCGTCCTCAATATAGTCGACCCGCCGCTTCTGTTGTAGAATATTGAACGCTCATAGAAGTCAGAGAACACATAAAGTAGTAGAATAAAACGAAAATGTTTTTTTCTGTCCTTCTTACATGTAGTTCATGATGCTAAATATAAAAAGCTGAATAATTTTGGCAAGAAAGTGTTCTGTTTCCAGTTCATTATTCCAAGTCTATTGTTCTAAGAAATTCTAAAAATCTGGAATGCTAGCTAGTATTCTAAAATTTTATCATTCTGCAATGATGGAATTTTGAAGTTCTACTGTTCTAAAATTCTAAGATTCTAGGATTCTGATACTCTGTTGTAAGAGTAAGTTGTAAGATTGTAAAATTGTAAAACTCCAATATTCTAATGTTCTAAAATTCTAACATTCTCCTATTCTATAATTTTAAAATTCTACAATGCTGGAATTGTGAAATTCTAATATTCTAGAATTCTGTAGATCTGTTGTCTTGGTAGAGTGGCTTAGTGTATGGATTTTATTTGTTTTTTGTAGATTATCGTTTAAAAATTCGTGTATTCTTAAATGTCTAAAAATATTGTGGATGTAGAAGTGTTTCGTGCGGTAAAGCGTTCGTTAGCCGCTTTGGTTGCCGAAAGCCCCGATGCCTCATCAGTAGCAAAGGAAAACGGTGAGTGAAGACTAAAACTGTGCTTCGATCATGTTTGTATATAAATTATACATTGTGTTGAGTGGATCATCAATTTTCATTCTAGCGCGTCAAGTTGAACAAAACGCACAAATGATGTCAGGTTTTTCAAGTGTACAGGATACACAAACGCAAGAGGAGCAAGGTAGCTAGAGCACAGACAAGTCTAAATCTGACTTTTTTCTGTTTTTTCGTTTAAAGTGGTGGAAAAAATTTATCCTCGTACAGTAACAAATCCATTTCGTCAAAAGACTTCAAGTAATCAAGATAGAATAGGTTTGGATAATAACTTAACCTTAAGTTAAACGTAAATGCTCGTTCGACATAAATAAAACATTTAAGCGTCTTGTTATCTTTTCTGTCCTTCATTTATTGTCAACTCATTTTAACCTTTTCCACTATCTCGCTTTTGGGTAATCAAGTTACAAGTGTTTCAGGCGTGGCTGGAAGACAAGTAAAACGTGATACACCTGAACCAATGGAGGATAGTGAGTTGAAAAGAACAAATCTTTCAACTGCTAAATTCGCTTTTCATTTTAGCGATGAATCAAGATGTTGAGGTACCTGTTCCTCAAGTATACATGATGGGTCTACCTAGGAGTATCACAAGGGAACAAGTTTATCAGGTTTTCTCAAGATATGGTTTGATCAGAGTAAGTAAATCGTTCATAGTTTAGCTCTCACAAAATCAAAAAGCAAAAAAACTTTTTTTCCAGGAAAATCCAACAACAAGTCAGTAGGAGATTCACGTTTATCCGAATCTGGTTCGTCAATGTGCTTGTGCAACTGTGTTATACACAAGTACACAAGACGCAACATTGGCGTTCGCTAAATAGTAAATCATTCTTATCCCTTAGTCCTCGATAACTAATTTTGATATATTTATTTAAGGTAAATGTGTTCAAGAGTTCTCGTACAATTTGATAAACGTGAATCATAATCGCCGTTGTTATCAAAATTACGTGTTACGACGACAACCACGACCACCACCACCAAGACATCAAGAACATCAAGACAATTAAAGTGCCAATAAAATGCCAGGTTTATGATAATTTTTTTTCGTATATTTTCTCTGTTTTTTTCTTGTTATTAATTTTCACATATTTTCGTTTATTTGATTATTCTTTTCTTTTCTGTTTTTGAAATACATTTGATCAAGCCACTCAAACATCTTTTCGTAACTAGAGCAAACCACTTTTATTACCGCATCAACTAAACTGAGTACACAGAGCCTCGAGAGAGATTTTAGACAAGATGTGTATTCTCATAGATAGATCATATGTGTACAATATTCTACAAAGACATATTACATTTAAATCTTAAAAAGTCACCTATCTTTTTGTGAAAATACATCGCATATTTAATATTTTTGTTAAACTAATGAAATATGTAGACTTACAACTGGTGTATCTGCCGATAGCAAGCATATAACAACTATAAATTTTCACAATNATATTTTTGTTAAACTAATGAAATATGTAGACTTACAACTGGTGTATCTGCCGATAGCAAGCATATAACAACTATAAATTTTCACAATGGCTTTACTATTTCGTTTTCGCTTTTTTAATTTTGCTGATATACACATTAAATACTGGTGTCATTCATACTGGACTGAAAATGTTTTAGTACTGGATATTCCCCGTTATATGAATGATGAAGCTGACGCTTTTTCAATATGTACATTCTGTTCGATCACGAAAATTTTTTTTGAAAATATAATAACGAAACATATCTTTTGTTACAATGCCTTTATTCGTACATTCGCTTTCTTGGTGTCTACAGACGTGCATATAAATAAAATAAGAAAAAGAAAATGAAAAATATAGTAAAAACATTTTAGAGATGTTTTATTCAGATGATGAAACAGTATTGAGAGGACTAACTGTCCTCCGTTTTTATAGTCGATCGATTGTATTATGGTTCACTAGATTTGATTCAGATGACAAATTCTTTTTCTGTTTCCGATCTGCTGAATTGCTTGCACTTTATTACACGATGACAAGTACTAGCAGCTTCGGCGAACAAATGACGCAAAATATTCAGGAAGCAGCTCAAAGAAAATTTGATTTATCTACCGTGCTGGAAGCCGACCAACACCAGATTTTCGCTCAGTTACAAGGTTTACGTGGATTTGAAGAAACGCCATTATTCTTTTGTTTTATTGCGTTGCTAAGTCATTTTTCACGAGATTACTTGGCGTATCGCACTGAAGATAAAAAACCGATCAATTTGTACGTTGTTCTAGTTGGTGATTCAGGTAAGTGAATTTACTCAGTCTTGAAACCGTTTTGTATTTTTCTACTATACGTTATGAGTCCGTATAGTTAAGAAAAAAGCTGAAATAATTTATTCAGCCGCTTATTTTATGTGGTTTTTCTTAAAGGTTCCGGTAAAACGCAAATTATTGGTCAGATGGAGCTAGCGAAAGACGAGGTTGAGCAAGAATTCCAGTCGTTTTATATCAGAAAGATGGATTATGGCGGAATCTCAGCATCATCTTCGTCAGTCGTAAAAAATGTTAACCACCTCGGACTGAGAAAACTTTTAGCATTAGGCAGTTGCTGTTATATAAATGACGAACCTGACGTTTTCTTTGATCCGTACGGTGTGTTCGATGTTGAAAATTCAAAATATAATAATGAAACATGTCTTTTGTTACAAGCATTGATGGGTGCGTTGTCTTTCTTTGGCCACTATAATGTGTTTTCATTTCTGAATGTCGTCTAGATTAGAGAATGATAATCGTTCCACTGGATCAACAACCACACGTATTACTAAAGCGCGTTTATCGATTCTAGCAGCGACAACTGGTGGAAAATATCAAAAACTTTTGTTTAATTGATCAAGATTTGCAGGATTTGAAGGAATACACAATCGAATGTCGTATCTTGCTTTAGATGGTATCCAAGCGATAAGACCGCAAAAGTGAGTAGCTTGTTAGGATTTAGTCTCAATTTGAGAATATTTTTCCACTTTAAGTATCCAAGCATTCCTCCAATAAAAACAGATGCCCACGTTGGCTCACGTATTAGTTGTTGCACATTTGTTCGGCACAATTGAATATAATTGGAGAAAAACGGATGACGAACTAAAACTTGAAGCTTATGATAAGAGATATTTTCTTCAGTGGGAAAGTTGAATGAATTCGGATAGAGAGCATGAATAATAATATACTAGATACAGCTATTGTAAAAAATGTTTATCGATGTATACTTTTTAATTCAGAACAATAATGTGCAAATTGCTCAAAGTTGATACCTTAAATTATTAAGTGCAACGCCTCCTTCTAAACTGTCACTATCAAATTCAAGAGAAACAAGTGCTTCACGCATTCATGTAAGTGTAGCCAAAAAGTCGAAGAAAAAGTGAAGGACTACTAAAATTTTTGTTTTCGTCTTCATGTTTTCCTTCGCAAATAATTCGTAT